AGCTTCTATAAAAGATCTCCTGTGGAAAAATGCTTCGCGCGCAAGGTTTCTTCACAAGATAATTAAATTCTGCATGTTTCTGTAGAAAGTAGAAAGATACCCGGAAAATCACGGTCAGCGCCCGCCGAATCATGACCATAGCTATTCGTTTTTCTCACCGGGCGTGGCCTTTCTAAAGTGTCCAAGGCACCTCGGCCTTTCCAACTTGCGTTAGTGAGGCGAATCGAACAATAATGCTTGGTTTGGGCAACGCACAGTGTGCATGCCTGTCGCCCTGCCATTTTCCTCTATTCCAGGGACTCAGGACAGAAGAAAAGTGCACCACCTAGTTCTGAACCGTAAACAAACACAGGACATACAGAAGCAGGTTGTGCTCTCATGGCCAACTAGGTGTGTGCCAAGGCCTGAACATGTTTTGCAACCCCACAAACAAGGTTGAAAATGTTAAGAATAGCTGCTTGCAAAAAAATGGTGCGCAGTCACAGGGATGCCCTGAGAGGCTTGCAGCCGTTGTGGAGAGACATTTGTTTGGCTCAAACCTCGGCGCCTTGCTTGGGCAACGCACAGTGTGCATGCCTGTCGCCCTGCCATTTTCCTCCAGTCCAGGGACTGGGGACAGAAGAAAAGTGCACCACAAGTATAAGCAGTACTCAGTATTTCACCGACACCTAGTTCTGAATGACCTTTACCGTAAAGAAAGACAAGACACACAGAAGCAGGCCAACCACACATGCGCACACACGTGCTCTCATGGCCAACTAAGTGTGTGCCAAGGCCTGAACATGTTTTGCAAGCCCAGGACCAAGATCGAAAATCTTAAGAATAGCTGCTTGCCAAAAAAGTGGTGCGCAGTCACAGGAATGCCCTGAGAGGCTTGCAGCCGTTGTGGAGAGACACTTGTTTGGCTCAAACCTCAGCGCCTTGCTTCAAACCCCATCGATCGCATTTTGCAACGATAGGTTGCTGAGGCCGCGCAAGCTGCGGCGGCCGCAGAGGCCGCGCAAGCTGCAGAGTCCGTGGAAGACGCGGAGGCCGCGGAAAACGAGGAAGCCCGCGCGCGCAGGTTGCGGAGGCCGCGGCCGCGGAGGCCGCCGAGGCCGCGGAGGCCGCGTAGGTCGCGGAGCCCGGGGACCGCGCAAGCCAACGGAGGCCGCGCAAGCCGCAAAGGTCGCGGGCGCACAGGCCGCGGAGGCCGCGGAGGCGAAGGCCGCGGAGGCCACGGAGGCCAGGCCGCGGAGTCTGCGAGGCCGCGGAGGTCGCGGAGGCCGCGGAGGCCGCGGAGGCCGCGCAAGCGGAGGCCGCGGAGGCCACGCAGGCGAAAGTCGCACAGCCGCGAGGTCGTGGAGATTTGGAGGCCGCGGGAGCCGCGCAGCGCCACTCCCGACCTTGCAAAGCACGGTGGCCACGCAGGTTGCAGATCGCGAAGCAGACCTCCTCGCCGCGCTTGCCCACGTACAATTATGACGCGGAAAATTGTCCAGGCCCACGATCTTGTAGACCGCCACGCAAAGCACGGAGGCCGCGCAAGCCACGCAGCCCCCAGCGACGCAAAGGCCGCGACGGCAGCGCAAGCCAACCGCGGGCGCAGCGATAGTCGCGCGACAGCCGCCGCGCCACGATTGCAGCTGCCCCTGACGCAGAAGGCGTGGAAACCGCACAAGCCGCCAGGCCGTTTCCGCATGCCACGCGAACTCTTGCGGCTTTGCAGACCCGTGTGCGCCATATATCGCGCAGAGCGCGCGCGCGTTGACAATGTGCGCGGCAACGTACCATGTCACGCCAGGCAGCGCCGCCGCGCGCCCGTACGGAGACTGCGCAAGCTGCGGCGGCCGCGCAAGTCGCGGAGGCCGAGGAAGCTGCAAAGGCCGCGACGGCAGCACAAGCCGCGGAGGCCGCAGGAGTCACTGAATCTGCGGCAGCCGCGCAAGCCGCAGTGACCGTGCAAGCCAAGTTACCGTAGTCGTACGGGTTGCTGAGGCCGAAGAGGCCGCGGAGGCCGTGGAACCCGGAAGCCGTGGAGGCCGCGGAAGCCGCGCAAGCCGTGGCGGCCGCGCAAAAAGCCGCGAACGCCGCATAAACGCCGCGCAAGCTGCCAAGGCCGCGGAGACCGCGGAGGCCGCGGAGAATGGAGACCGCGCAAGCCGTGGAAGCCGGCAGCCGCGCAAGTCACGGACGCGGAGGCTGCCGAGGCCACGTAGGCTGCGGAGGGCGCGCAGGCCGCGGAGGGCGCGCAGGCCGCGGAGGGCGCGCAGGCCGCGGAGGGCGCGCAGACCGCGGAGGCCGCGGAGATCGCGCAGGCCGCGCAGGCCGCGGAAGCCGCGGAGGCCGCGCAGGCCGCGCAGGCCGTGGGGCTGCGGAGGTTGTGGAGGTCGCGGACGCCGCGCAGGCCGCGGTGGCCGCGCAGGCCGCAGAGGTTGCACATGGCCGCGCAGCCCGCGCAAGCCGCGGACGCGCAGGCTGTGTGAGGCTGCGCAGGGCCACGGATGGTCGCGGCGGACGC